GGCCCCGCTGAAGGCATCGTGGCCGTCGATGGGCAAAGGCACTGCCTCACGGTAGGGTTTGATGCTGAAACCTGGTTGACGTTGGAAGGAGAGCAAACAAATAAATTTTAGCAGTTAAGTGGGGATTTCCCACCAAAACACAATAAGCAAAAATGTAAAACGACCATGGAAAGCGGAACGAAGTGTTTGGTGCACAAAGACTTCCATTTGCAACAAGTCCCCTGGAAACAATAAGAATACTAAGTGATAGATCCCCTTTGCAACCAACAGAGAAAAAATGCCAATACCCGGTGAGGCGTGAACTATAGCACAAATCGATAGATGCGAAAGCAAAGAGAACCACACACACACACACACACACACACACATTTCCGCCCTGTCAGGACAACACGTCAGCCTGGAAGCGCACATACACCTGACTCACCTCCTGGATGGGCCAACAAAAGAAAACAAACAATCTCTTTTACCACTAAAATGGTCCAAAAACCCAAAAGTGACTGAAGTCCATGAACTCAGGGAGTGAGATCATCAAAAGCGGCACACGCCTTCTTTGCCCTGGCCCACTCGCGACTCGCGACGCTTCCGCGTACGCGCCTCGAAGGAGAACTTCTCGCCAGGAATCCGCACGAAGTCGGGCACCACCATGCCCACCCAGGCGAGCATCGCCAAGCGGCCGTGCTTCAGCTCTGCCTACGTGGCCCGTCGTTTTGGGCGTCTTTTGGTGGTGCCCCGGGTTTTAGAAGAGAAACCAAAAGGAAAAGCGAAGCCACTGTGCGGGGTCCCCCGAAAAAAGAAAAAAAAAACTGGCACACCCATATGGGTGACACTGAAAACCAAGGACGTGCAAAACTAGATAGTCTCCATTTGGTTCTCTTGTGAGGCATCCAGGCAGGGGCCCCTTGCTAGACATGCCTCCCCCCATTTTTGAGCAGAAGCTGGCCTCCTCGATACATTTGCAGGATGGCAAAACCACGAAACCCTTCGTTGCTTGAAACCATCTGCTCCATGCTATGCAAATCCCATCTGCCCTCAACCACCATAGAAGGGAACTGCTTCTGGGTGAGTCAGATGCGTTGCAACCTTAGGTGTCCTGATGGACCAGCAGCATGATAATTACATGACGAAGTGAGTGAGATCCAAGTTCCGCAAGCCGACCTGAAACTAAGCTCAGGTGATATCCCCAACAATGTTGACCCCAAAAAAACCTGTTTATTGATATGGAGGTGTCCCCGGGTTTTAGTGGTGATTTATCACTTCTGGAGGGAAACACCCCCATATTTATAAGCAGGGGTTTATTAATCCGGGGTCAACATTAGCAGGATCCCCAGAACTGTGCGTGCGCGGACCCCCTCTCAGCCCCCGCATCCCTGGAACCTCCTTGCAACCGCCCCACGCATCCCCGGAACCCTTCTCGGAATCGCCGAAGCCAGTGCTTTCCCGGAACCCTCCTCAGAACCGGCCCCGACCAGACCTGGGCCCCAGGACCCCGCAGCTTTCGGCTGGGGGGAAAAAAACAACGACCTCCTCCTGGTTGCTGTTGACCCCCTGCAAAAAGTTTAACTTTTTTGGGGCTTAGTGGAAAACACCTTTATTTTCCAAAAAGCTAAAATCTAAAGATCCGTTGCCCAATAGCAGTCAAGTCCTCCCCTTAGATCTCCCCAGCGGCCTCGCGGAAGTAGGGCACCAGCTCCGTCTTCTTGGAGAAGCCAAGGGGGTCGAACTCGTAGCGGCCCCAGGCGCCGTCCGCGCCTGCCAGGCCCTGGCAGAACTTGCCTCAGAATCCGAGGCAACAGTCTGTGGGTTCTGGGAACCAGCAAGGAACCTCCCCCCCCCAAAAAAGGAGGCCCCGAAAGGAGACTCCTCCACTTTGACTTGCAAGAGCGAGAGAGAGAGAGTACTTTTCACTCTCTTCTGAACAGGAGCCAAAGGACATTTAACATGGTACTGGTAAGGGTTATCGGAGCACATCTGCGCACATCTGCTACGATCTATCAACAGAAGTAAGACATGTCAAGAAAGGCTCCAGCTCGTGTTTCATTTGAGAAAGCTCGCTTGCTCTCGAACGCGGTGAGCAGTGATGACAAGGGTACAGGATAGCGGTCCTTCTACGAAGAAAGTTTGCTAAGACAATTCAGTGCAACATAAAGTTCGCGTTCTTGGCGTAGCCCCCCTATCAATTGCAAAAAAACAAACAAACTATTGGCATGTTTGCATCAGCTTCGGCCCATGGGTAACTCTTCCCATTGGGAAGTCTTTCTTCTTCTTGGCGGTTTTCCCCAATGGTCATCCCTTGGTTGACGTTGGAAGGGGAGCAAAAACATGAATTCCAGCAGTTCAGTGGGATTTTTTCAAACCACCAAGCCACAATGAGCAAAAATGGGCAAACTGTTTCCCAACAACACCCATGATCCCATGTAAAGCTTCTTGATCAAGCCTCAGATCACGCAGCCGAAAGGCCGTTGTCCAGGAGGTCAATGCCAGAGTCCTCGTAGGCGATGGCCAGTTCCCTGCGAAGGGCCTAGCGCGAGTCCCAAGTCCCGAGACCCAAGAAATGAAATCCATAGATGAGCTTCTGCTTAAACATCCACGGGTTTCCCTGGTACATGAAACAACACCCTAAACCGCTGGAACTCGTCGATGTTTAACCAAACTAACCTAAAAAAGGACGCCTATGGATCCAGAGTGAACTAGCCTCCCACCAATTCACATGGAACATGAGTCACAATCAAAACCCGGTATTAAAATGGCCTACCCAGAACCATGTAAAGAATTAAGAAGGCAGCCGCAACTATTTATGGCTGGGATTGTACCTTACTAACCTTCATCTTCCCGGGTTTTGATTGTGGCTCACATGACGTTCGGGTGTCCATTTAAATGGAAAATTAACCAAACCAGGACCCCCCGAACGTCAGGTTCCGGTTCTCAGCAGGGAATGAGTTGGTATGACCCCTATAAACCATCCGGTATGGCTTTCCAAAAGGAGAATCCCCAAGTTCATTCCCAACACCCTGAACCATTCATCATTCCCTACTCAGCAAGAAATGTGTAACTGACCGCAAACTTAAGAAAACCAACCCAACATAGATCATCAGGGATCGTCATGGGTTGGACGCACTCCCCTGGTAGGTAAGATTGCTCTACTTTGCCGGAAATCAGAATATGACAGCAGTCCTCTTAAAGTAATTCACACCCTTGCCCCC